GTTTTGCCAGTGTTTTACCCACAGCAAAGCTAGAAATATTACACCACTCCTGGAAATTGACTAGCCAACATGGCGGATATACAAACTAAAATTCATAGCGATAAAAATACTTAGGAATCTTCGAACAGTGAGGGTATTTCAATGGATGATGAACAGAAACAAGTCAACAAACGGGTCATGCAAAACCGCTGCACCATATGTACGAGCCTCACGCACTGTCAGGCGAGAAATATATTTAGGCATTTTTAGGCCTCTCTAAGACCCCCACTACTCTCTTTAGAGCAACACATTGCAATACATCTCCATGACATTGCAGATAACAGCAAAAATGAATTGATCAAAACTTAAAATTTAGTTTTAGTGGCCATAGCTGTAGCATTAAGCTGCTATGGCACGTTCTCAGCTTTGCCTAAACGATCTCATACTCTTTTTTGGACCATTTGTTAACCATAACCATTCATCGAGCATCTTATCCCCATGGTGATACATGTAGTGGCAGTGGCATGCTGTGGGGATGTTATTATTCTATTAAGATGCTCGAAATAATATAATTAAACTTAAATGGATCTAAATCTTACCTCTCTGGCTGGAATATCCCCACAAAAGGCTTGCAGATGTGTTTTACAGTTTAAAATCATAATCATGATAACTTTTTGTTGCTCTACCACATAAAATGCAAATAGAATCCATTAAAAATGTAAGGTTGTAGCGTGCCAATATGTAAAGGAAACATTTGGAAGACTGTAGAGCAATAGCACTGACTCTTTAGTAGTAAATGGGAGTATAAAAGATGCAGCTCTTTTGTTCCCAACCCATTTGATTCTGTCGGTTTTCAGTTTTAGATTAATACTGCATGCGTGTGCACTGATAAAAAGAAGCTTACCCCATGTTAAATGTTGGAGGTTGTGTAAAGTTGAATCCTCCACCAGTTGATCCTGGCTGGGGTGCAATGGAGGGATTGGCAGAGGGGGCGGGAGAGGCTCCAGATCCACCTCCAAATGTAAACACACCTGAGGAGTTATTTGTGGCTCCAAAAGCACTGGCTCCTCCAAACTGAAAGCCTCCACCTGATGAATAAAAAAAGAAAAACATATAAATTAATGATATGATCCGCATAGGTTAAACTGGTAGCATGGTAAAAATGGGATTACTCACTAGGTGCAGAGTTTGTAACTGAACCAAATACAGGCGTAGAGTTATTCTGTTGTCCAAAGACGGGGGCCGCATTGGTTTTGGCTCCAAAAGCTGGGGCTGAGGTTTGGGCAGTCGTGGCTGTGAAAGGGGATCCAAAGGTTGATGCGAAAGAAGGAGCCTGGTTGGTTCCAAAACCACCGGAGCCGGCTGAACTGAACCCAAATGGTGACGGGGTAGCAGATGGAGCTGAAAAAGTTAAAATATTTATAATTTTTAATAATGTCTCACTGCAGCTATGCATGCATAAGTGAAGGTTTTAAAATAAATGCAGACCTGATGAAGAGGCAGCAGAGGGCGCCGCCGCTGCTGCAGCTCCAAAGTTGAAAGAGGGAGCAGCAGGAGTAGGAGCTGTAGCAGCAGCAGCATTGGCAGACGCACCAAAGATGAAGGGTTGAGCTGGTGCTGGAGCAGACGCTGGGTTCAGAGGAGCACTTGATGGCGCTGCAGCCTGGTTGTCCTGATTTTGTCCAAAGACAAAGGCCTTGGTAGCAGGAGCGTCACCGGTAGTCGAAGAAGGCTGACCAAAAACAAATGTGCTGGGAGCTGCAGAAGATGAAGAAGTTGATGCCGGAGCGGTTGTGGAGCCGCTACCGAACAAACTGGAAGTCGGAGTTGCAGACGTTGAGGTGGTGGCGTTGGGTGGATTATTAGCCAGAAAAGAGAACGCTGGTTTTGGATCAGACGTGGAATCTGTACAGGAGGAGAGGGACGCATTTAGCAATGATGACAAAAAAATTAATAAATAAATACTGCCTTCTGTTTTTGTAAACCCTAATATCATGTAAAATTGTGGGTACAATATCTTTGTCTTACTAAATGTATACAAGGTTAGCAATTCAGTCTAATGAAAAAGGACCATACTGGTACCTGCAGCACTTTGTCCAAAGCTGAAAGGTGGCTTTGAGGCTTCTGAAGAGGATGTTTCACTTTTCTCCGCTGGTTTGCCAAACGTAAAAGTGGGTGGAGGCTGTTCTGTGGGAGCACTCTGCTTTCCGAAGGAAAAGCCTCCAGATGGAGCAGGATCCGGCTCCTTTTTTGGAGCGCCAAAGACGAAGGGCGATGGAGCCGGAGAGGGAGCTGCCTCCTTCTTCTCTTCTGGCTTTGCAAAAGCAAATGCTGGAGCAGCCGGCTCCTTACCTGCCTGCAAAGATCCAAACGTAGCGCCCACCTGTGGTGTGCCGGTCACCAAATTTGGCTCACCTACTCTCCCGAATACAGACCCCTTAGCAACAGCTGTGGTTGGGTTGGTGATAGATGATGTGGTGTCAGTTGAAGATACTGCTTTATCGCCATTCTCTTGTAAAGATGAAAGAGGAGTTATGGTAAGAGAAGATGAAGATGTGGTGGTTTCTGGTGTTGTTCCTGCAGGATTAGTCAGTCCAAAGGTGAAGCCACTTTTAGAAGAAGAGTTATTGTCTGTGCCAGATGACCCACTTCCCAAAGTTACCCCGCTGCTCCCCCCAAACTTGAAAGCAGCCCCCGTGGCAGGCGGGTCTGACTTCTTGTCATCACTGGATGCAGCTCCGAATTTAAAACCCTCAGAGGAGCCCCCAAACTTAAACCCTGATGAGGCGGTATTGTCTTTGGAGGAGGACTCTGAAGAAGAGCTTCCAAACGGGACTCCAAATTTGAATCCCGCTGATGATGATGATGAAGAAGACGATGACGACGACTCTGAAGTCCCAAACTTGAACCCCCCAGATCCAGCTGTACTGTCTGATGTGCCAAACTTAAAACCACCAGGAGCAGTGGTAGAGGAGGCTCCGGCAGCTGAGGAGCCAAAAGACCCAAAGGCTGAAAAGAAAAAGTAGAACATCAGTTTTAAGATATTAAAAGGAACATCCCATATTTTAGTTCACAAAAATTACTTTAAATTCTAAAAACTGGGCATCTTAAACATACAAAGATGTGTAAACTGCAAAAAAAAAAAAAAAAAAAGATATCTAAATAAGTAAAGTTTTTCTTAAAATAAGTGCATTTTTTGTTGAATTGAGGATGTGAGACCCTTTGCCAATGTAACGAGACAATTTACATTTAAAATAAGAAAAAAATAATTGCATTGTCTTATTTAAAGCACATATCTATCTTATTTTAAGAGTAAAAATACTCATTCCATTGGCAAATCATTATTTATCTACTCAAATTAAGATTAAATACACTTGATTTACGAAATTTGTACTCATTTCTAGATCGTTTTTGCAGTGTATAAAGGAAAAATCATAAAATTGTAATCGCATTATTAGTTGAAAAAAATTACAAGTTAGATTTTTATCCAAATTGTTTGCTGCATGATGTTAATCGCTATTGCTTCATGAAGTTAATAACTACACTCAATGTTTTTCTCTTTCCTCTACGTTTGGCTTTCTCCTCCTCCGAGGAAAAAGGACCTAATATTTAGTGATAGCTGAGTCTACCTCTATAATATGGATTTCTACAGCAGTTTTTCTTTGGATGGACAAATGCTCATTTCTGGTGTTGTGAATTTATAACTATCTTTCTTTGGCCCCTTTCTCAATTGGCTGTGCCAAGTCATTATTTTCTATCATTTTTTCCTCATGCTAATTTGCTTAACTACTGAGTCTCTCCTCAAGAATCACTGAATTTGCATTCTTTATAAATCTGTGGCTAACTTCCTTTCCAAAACCGCAGAAAGCATAAGTGGCTCTGAAGATTTCAGTGTAATCCATCAACTAGTATTTTCTTGAAATGTCCTCGCTAACAAAAAATTCACAGCCAACCTTTAGTGGGACCATAATAAAATGGATGCAAATAAAAGTAGCATCACCTTGTCAATAGGGCTGGGCGATATGCACCAAAGAATGTATCTAGATATCTTTAAGCTCAAAAGCGATACAGGATATATATCTTAATTTTTTTTCCCCTTTACATAAGAGGATAAGTAATACTATTTTTCTGCAAAACAAAACTGAAAACCATTTAAGTGTAAACATAAAAGATACAGAGCAAACAAAAGAGCTACTTTGTACTTTCCACTTTCCTTCTCTCATAGGACTCAGCACGGGTATATGCGTTTTTATTATGTTTTTTAGCAGGAGAATGGGAAGAAACGGCTAACTGTAGCCGAATCTTTTGTGCAAAGCACAGTATATGACATGAAAGGAGCAGGGTCGCTTTACATTGTCAAAGACATGGTGCCCTGTTTATACTTATTGCCTTCCCTAATAATTAAGGAGAAAAAAAAGAAAACAGAAAAATCGCAGAAAAATTCACAATTCAAATAAAAAATTAAAAATCTGATTTTGTATTTTTAGGCCATAACATCCAGCCCTAAGTAGCATCCAGTTTCACTCTCTTCATACTCATTAAAACATTTTTTGTAATTGATAATAAGATATGCAACACTCCAACCTTTAGTTGGGACTTATAATCACCATTTTTTATAAGACACATTTTCCTGTTGTTGGTCTGACGTAATCCAATCTGGGCCATTCTTTTTCTTTTTGCTCACCAGTGGATCTTCAATATATTCTCCCATGTTTTGCCCCCTCCTCTTTAACCTCAATCATTTCCTGCTTGTTGCACTGAGTAAAGGTATTATTTGGGTTCTACGTCTACACAGAGGGTGACAGTGGCACTGGATGAATGAATTTGGCCCTGCAACTGCGAGGTTTTCAGTTTGAGCCCTGGCTCCAGCTTTTAGCATCATTGTGTCCTTGGGCAAGATACTCCACCAACATTGCCTTCTAATGGTGGTCAGAAGGCTCGGTGGCGCCAGTGTACGGCAGCATAGCTTCTGTTAGTGGTGTTTTAGTGTGTGGGAATGGGTGAATGAATGTAGTGTAAAGCACTTTGGTCAAATCCACTGACTTGAAAAGGCGCTAAATACAGTAGCAGCCATTCAAATGGCCCTTCCCAGTCAAACGGCAGCCAACTTCCAGCCATTGGAGTGACCCCGTCCTTCTCCTGGGCGTGCATATTGCTTTACTCTGACTCCACCCTTTCACTGAATTACAGGGTCTGACAAGGAGAAGGCACTTCTCTTTAGATCTTAATGTCCACAAATAATAAGAGAAAAAATATTTAAATACAAAGATTGGTGTTTGAAGAAGGAATCTTAGGGGATCAGCCAAGGGCCCTTCAAGGAAAGTGGGGAAATTTTGAATGGCTACTACAGGCCATTTACTATATATGTAAGGCCATCCTGCCTTACATCAGTTCAGGTGTTTCTAAAGGTACAGAAGTTGACCCTGTACCTTTGTCAAAATAGCACATTTTTAAAATTTATGAAAAATATCCATATATATATATATATATATATATATATAGTCCCTTTCAGTACAATAAAGATTTTAATGAATGAAAATAAGTTGGGGTTTTTTACCTTTGGGTTCTACTTTAGCTCCGGGTTTGGTCGACTGACAAGCAACACATTTAACATCAGCAGCTTGATTTTGCACGAGACATACATCACATTCCCATGCTCCTTCAGGTTTCTTGAACTTGTCTAACAGACCAAACCCTGGGGCACTGCTGGCTGCTGAAGAGACAGTTGCTGAAGCTCCTGTTGATGGGTTTAAACAGAAACACTGTTTATTAAAACAAAGCTAAATCAAGGAAAACATCACAGTCATGCACCCACAAGTACCTGGTTTAGCAGCCGTGCAGGCCACACACTTGCTGTCCTCTGCCTTGTTTTGCACCATACATGTATCACATTCCCACGCACCCTCTGGTTTTTTGAACTTATCGCCAAAACCGCTGATTGTGGAAACTGGGTCAGAGGGTGTAGATGTAGTCTTAGCAGCTGAAAAGGCTGGAGGGAAAGTTAATGAGGGTTTAAGTCCTGTCCCGGGTTTGGCTGTTTCACAGGCCACGCACTTCACTGCGTCAGGTTTGTTGGACACTAGACACGTATCGCATTCCCATGTTCCTACAGGTTTGGAGAAGATGGGGCTAAATCCTGTTGTGGTTAGAGTGGTGGAGCCGATGCTTGTGCTGCTGCTCTGTTGCCCTGCTGAGTTGGCAGATTTCTTGCTCTCCGCCGATTTGGGTGAGGAGTTCAGCTTTGGGGCCTCACTGCTCCAGTTCACCGAGGCACTGTACAAATTACCAAATCCTGCCGAGGAAGGAGGCAAAGAGGAGGAGCTTGTGCTAGATGTAGGAGTGGTCTTGGATAGGTTGGATGTATTTTGGGGATCTGCGTTGGCGCCAGGAGAATTTTTAACTACAGGGGAGGCAAAACCTGGGGGGAATAAGGAGAACATTTTAAAAACTGACTACCATAACAGGTGAGTTTTACATCTTCAAAAATAACAAACAAATTTAAAGCCACAGAATCTCACCAGGTGATTTAAGAAGATCCAGCACACTGCCTTGCTTCAGGGTCTTGGCCGGTTTGAAAGGTCCTTCAAATTCCTCTGTGCTCTTGCTTGCAACAGGCTTCGCTGTGTAAAATGGAAAAAAAACAAAACAGAAAGGATAGGTCACACTATGCAATCCTACTCAGGATTCACACCTTAAAAGTACCGCAATACGAAAACATTTAAACGACACAAATGCACAGAAATGTCCTGTTGTTAGCGCTACAGTTAGCAGTCGGTAAAACCTCCTAACCTGCTACTGCTGTGGGCGCTGTGAGCTTCCCATTTGACATTGAGGGTGTTAACTTTGCAACAGGTGCACTGAAAGTGAAACCAACCTATAAAGAAAGAGAATACACATACATTTAAGACAGAGCCATACAGGCAGTAAATTCATTTATAAAACAGTATTCAAAGAAGTGAAATGATTACTCACAGATGGGGAGTAAGAAGGTGGACTGGCAGCTGTTGCTTTGACAATAGGAGAGGAAAATGTAAAAGGTGCACAGGGTGATGTTGAAGGCTTTGGTGGATCCTGAAGACGAAAACAAAAACATGAGTTATTCTGTCTACTGTGATGCTTCAACAGGAGCTGGCTCCAACACCAACCTTATTTGTGATCGTCTCCTTAGCAGGAGTAAAAGTTGTGAGGCTTGGGGAGGAGCTGATCGAGGTGGACGTTGGCAGAGATGAAGCAAAGCTGAATGTAGGCAAAGACGATTTGTTGATGGGGAGTGAAATGCTGGGAAAGGTCGGTACCTCAACCACCTTTAGACAGAAAGCAGTTGTATGCATACAAATTAAACCTGCAGTTACAGCAGAGGGTGATGTTTTTTTTTTTTTCAAACAATTAATCGATGCCTTACCTCATCATCTTCAGGGTGTTTGGATGAAGGCCGTGCAGTGGTTCTTTCTCTTCTCATTTTTCCCCCTCCAGTGCTCAGGCTGCTGGTTGCAGGGGTGCTAGACAGGGGGTAGACTGGGTCCCTGATGCGTTTTGTGCTTGATAAAACAAACATAAAAAGGTTTGTTATTAGAGATGTTATGGTTTAAGCATTAGGCTAGACTTATGACTAGGCTATTTTGTATGAGGATATTAGACTAAAATGAAAATTTGCTTGTATTTTTAATAAAAGTTCTACACCTTTATATAAATGTGTTCTCATCCTATATTTTACCTTTGAGAGGGACCTGGGGTTGCTTCAGGTAGTTGTGGTGATTGTCTTGTAGGCTACAGGAAATTAAAAAGAGAAAGATAGCATGATTGTTAAATTATGTTTTAACTAACTGCTCAAAAAATAAAGGGAACTTTAAAACAACACCTCCTAGATCTTAATGAATAAAATATTCTAATTGAATACTTTGTTCTGTATAAATCTGAATGTGCTGACAACAAAAATCATAAATGGATATCAGGTTTATTAACCAATTGAGGGCTGGATTTAGAGTGACACAGAAAATTAAAGCTACAGATACAAAGAAGAAATAGATAAGGAAAGGAAAGAGAAAAAAGAAAAGATGCAGGCCTAAAGGCAGGAATTTAAAGGAAGGTGATGGTCTAAGAAAGGAACATGTCCTACAATTCTATATATATGAATAAATTATATCTCATTTATGGTAAAAAAAAAAAAAAAAAAAAAACATCTCTGCAAGCTACTGACCGTCTTTTCTCTTGCAGCCCTGTCCAGGGTTCTAAGGGGTCCTCCTGGTGTCAAAGTTGGCCTGAAAGAAACGGATCGATTTCCTGAAACAGAAGGTGTCGTTGGAACCACCAGTTTCTGCACCGGAGGAAGGTTTGAGTCCATCTATGGAAAAAAGTAACGAAACAGAAGAATAAATAACCCCAAAAAAAAAGACAAACAAGACAAAGGAGGCTTCTTTCCTGTACTAATGCATTGCAGTAATCTGACCTTAAAGTTAAATATAAAGTTTTTACAACACTGCAATTAAATATTTAAACACCGATTTAGCATTATCCCTAATGCTGAAGTTTAAAACAGCAAAGTAGAATTTACTTAAGATAGAAGTATAATTTAAAAGCATCATCTTTCGTTTGAGCTTAATGAAAGCTGACATTGTTTTGTTTTTTTTGTATTTTAGAAGTGGTTGCTGTTAGCCATTAAAGAATCACTAGACCATTGTTCCATCGTGGAAAGAACAGCTGTGACAGCTGGACATGCTGGGCAGAAAGCAAACGGCTGGCAAAGTGAATATGGCACTGACATGAAGCCAAATGTATTCTGATGTGCATCAGACCTGCACATGAATGTCTACACATACTGTGGACTAAAAGTGCAGAGCAGCTGGATGGGAGCGTGTTCATGACTGTACGAAGCACAGACAGACAACTAAAGGCAAGACAAGATGAAACATGTGTTGCTAGGTTTGCAGACAGCAACGTTCTGTTCACTGTTAGCAAATCAGAAATTTGACTGACTTTAACCAGTTGAAGAGTAAAGTTTTCCCAATCGATCAGAAAAACAGAGGATGAACCTTTGGGAGAGCTGCATCCATTGATTCTTTTCACTACTGTATATATGTTTAACAAAGGAAAATATCACTGAAATTAAATTGTATTGAAAGATAAACTCATTGCCTATACTCAATTTTTCTCTAATTTCTTAATGATATAATTATGATCAATATATGCTTACAAACTGCTACTTATATGCCTCAACTCCACAACAAAACTTTAATTTTATGTAAAATGTTTTACATTAAACTAAAATAACAGGAACTCAATACTACTTACTCGTTTTTTCTTTGACTGGGAGCCATCTTGAGTCAAACCATCCATTGACTGCAATAGAAGTTAAATTACATGTTTAATCACAGACGTTGCAAGCTGAAGATCGCAGTTTAATGTGCTGAAGTCTTACAGTGGAATGACTGGGGGAACCTGCTGCTGCTGGGATTCTCTTTGCATCCTGTTGATGAAACATTTGCAGTATTTTAAATGATTAAAAACTGTCAGACAAAAGCTAAAAATCTACATTTGGGCTTGAAGGATGCATTTATACTCACAGCCAGGGGGCTGGACATACGCTCTAATGACTGCAGGATTCGCCTTGCAGTGGCGCTCGTCACCCCACAGGGCTGAGCACCCGCAGGTTTGGCCTTTATCTGTCTTCTCACTGGGGCCTGCAAATCAAATGAAACGGCTTAAGTCCCTCAAATTCATATAATCAGGTCAGAAATCAAAACAAATCCTTAACAGTCAGAATGCTACGTGAAAATGTAGGGTGAAAGTAGGTAAATTCTGATTAAGCATTACTAAACAGTTTGTAATTGTAGAAGTTTGTAAAATGTAAAAGATTACCTGATAAGGTGTTCCAGGACGACCACGGGAGCTCCTGACTGCAGCTGCTCCGCCATACGTGGTTTTCCCAGGGTAGAAAGGAGAATCTCCCAGCTGGCTAGAGTTCAGCAGGGAGCTGTTTAATGTGGACTAAAAGAAAAAATTGGATAAAACATAAGCATTGTATTGGAAACTGTGTGATTTTATCTGGAATTGTTTTTAAGGATTTTGTTTCAGAGATACTTGACAATAACCCTGTCCTTAAATTAAAGGGACTAATAAATATAACAGGGTATTACATGATCAATAAAAGGTTACACTTAAAGGTTATCACATTTTTCAGAACCATCACTATTTGGGTATGGATCCCTTTAGCAAAAAGGCTATAAGTCAGTCAGGTTAAATTAAGAGCATCTGCACCCGTCAAAATGGGGTCAGTTGGATTTTAATGTGGACTTTGACTAGGACATTTTAAGAGAATAATAAAGTTTAATCTAAACTAGGGGCTCTTAAGCCTGGTCCTTTGGGCCCACTGTCCTCCATGTTTTCAATAAATGAATTAGGAAGCAATCCAATTAGGCCATCTAATGGGGTGAGATGTTTCATTCAAAATTAAACAAACGCTGTTATAAATCAAAAATTGTATTAAACAGGTAAATGCTTACAGAAAAAACATAATACACTTTGCAGCTTATTTTGTCATTTAAAAAAAACTCCACCTCTTTAATTAAATGTAAAAACATCACATAAAAAGAGCCTAAAAATAAATATTTAAAGTAGCTTTACAAAAAAATATATTTTTTATGAAATACAAATATATATATATATATAAATCCAAAATAGATATTAATGATTAGATCTCACGGTAAAAAAAATTCAAAACACTTTTTGTTCCATTTCTTGGGGACTTATTAATAACAGTTTTTTTCCCTTTAATGTTGACTGACTAAAACCCATCTAGGACCACTGTTGAGAATGACTGATCTAAAACCATGGCTTTACGGTTCTAGTTGGTCGAACAGGTTGGAATTCCAGTCGTGCGTCTTTGGGTGAATGGGGGTCTTTCTCTCTGTACTCCAGCTTCCTTCCAACAGTCCCAACTAATCACTGTTAGGTTAACTCATCTAAATTGTTGTGTGTAACATGCTGACAGACCCAAACTGGGTTGTAAGATTCTTCAGGCCCCCCATAGTTACCCCGGACATGTTAACTGCTTCGCTTTACCCGGTCTGTCAGCCTAGTTGAATGCTTTGCTGATTCTCAAATAAATAATTGAAAAGTTTTACACTAGATGGAAAAGGTTTATGGTACTCAACTCTGCTTCACTCCTTTTTCCCTAACCTGTCTGATGCATTCCGTGTTTTAATGATACTTCATAAACTCATCAAAATAAATGCATTGATACAATACCCAGATTGGTTATTATTTAAAATGATCCCTGCTCTATATACAAAATTCTAACAGCTGTACTATTAACAGCTCCGAGCCCTTCTGGTAAGAAGACAAACCCTGAATATCGACCATTAAATACTTACATTGGAGGAGTTTCCAAAGACAGACAGGTTAAATGAAGGCTTTTTGAGGCTGGACTGAGACTGCTGGGGTCCAGAGCTTGTTCTATCCATCTCTGGGGACCAAAGCTGAGGAAGTGAAGCAGTTTTGGAAGTCGGAACATCTGGAAAAAAAGAAAATGATCCATCTTAATATTCACTGAAACAAAAACAAAATGTTTAGTAAAAGACGTGAATGTCTCATCCCTACCCTTGTCTGATGCACGGGAGGAGAACCCACTCGTTGTGGAGATGTTATCATCTTCATGTTGTGAGAGGTTGTCCTTGATTTCTTTGACCAAGGAGAAACCTGTGGAAAAGGGCCCAGGGGCTGAGGAGGTGGAGGGCTGAGAGAAGAGGCTGCTAGAGGCTCCCATTGTTTGGGAAGAAGCGTCCATTGGGGTAAAGTGGAGATGAGAACGACTCAGAGGAGGCCTGGAGAGCACGTACTCCTGAAAGTTTAGGGATGCCCGGCTGGTTGAGGGTTCTGAAAAATTAAGCGTGAAACTAAGCTCCAGAATAAAAAAACAAAAACAATTCTCTGTCAAGACAGGTACAGCCCCTTGCCTGTATTACTGGTGCTTGGTTCTGGGGAGTCACGTCCATCAATGGGAGGAGGTCCCTCTTCATTGCCATTAGGAGGAGGTGGTTGGCAGTTCTGCTCTGTCTCTTGTCCCATCTTCTCAGCAGGACCATCTTCATTCTTGAAGTATTTCTGCAGCCAGGATGGAACGATGCTCTTCACTGTGTCTGTCACTCGACTGATGAGCCCAGATTGCTAAAAAAAAACAACAACAAAAAAAAAAAACAGAGAGGATACACTTAAAAATGTAATTGTTAAAACACATAGGTATGATCTAAAGTAAATTACACGTTAAAAACAGTAGAGGAAAAATCTCAGAAGCATAACATTGCATTATGTTATTTATTCCTTCAGCAAAACAATCACCTAACATTTGATTATTTTATCCATCTGCAATGTGCAGAGCCAATTCCGCAAGTATTTTCCCATTTAAGCTTTGTTAATATAACTTCCAGATTCTAGAGTTTAGAGAACTTTAAAATACTATTGCCAGTATGCCAGATTTTAATGCAAAAAAAAAAATAATAATCAATGATGTCCAGGTCCACATAAATATACTTTTTAATACTTCAAATAAAAATGCCCAACTTGTGATTGGCAATTGTTTTTATAATTTATATAAATATCATGATTTTTATCTAAACAGCTCCATTTGTTAAGAGGCTCCATTTATGAAGTATTGTGCTAAACAAAACCAAATGCTGGTATTGGAAACTGCCAGGAATTTGATCTACTACTTAAAATAAAAATAAAAAAACAAAGCTACTGAAAATGATCTGCACAACATTGTAGAACAAAGCAGGCTTCATTCTGATCATAAATCAAAACGTATCAATCTTCTGTGAAAAATAACATAATTCCAGACATTTTAACATTTGCTAAACTCTGGATGGTAAAACTTGCCAGAGTACCAAACCTGGGAAGAGGGTCAGGAACTAGTTTAGCAATCAATTTATCAGAGATTAGGTTTAGAAATCTCTCCTTTCTTTGTTGTTCCCTCATTGTGTGGAGCAGATTTGGATATGCAGAATAGAAACAAAAGAGAAAACACACCCAGAAGAAAAATCTGTTACAACAGAAGCATACTATGTATGTATGTGAGAGTTAAGCTTGGTATAATTCTGTTTCATGAAGGCAGAAGAGCTTGGCCATATTGGACAGAGCAAGCACTGGGTAACCTTAAAAAAAAAGGAAAAAAAAACAATATTTATGCTTATGTCCACTTCTCCCCTACAAGCAAAAATAATTTCCATATTTGATAGCTATGAGATCAATTTCACAATTAAAAATGTTTTATTTATTTGGATAAGTTGACAGTATCTAAATAAAGCAGTGCATCACTACAGGTAGTATGGTTGTTCTTTAAAAAAAAAAAAAAAAAAAGGAAAAATATATCACATCAGTAAAACAAAAACAAACAAAAAAGGATAAATAGAACAGCATTGTAAGTATTGGCCTGCACAGGCCAGGTTTTAGAAATTATTTTTCTTTTTTGCCCTCTCTTTTACCGCAGGCTGCTGTGGATCATCCTTTGGGATGCCACGCAGTGCTTCATCCAAGCAATGATATAACAGATACCCTAAATGTTTGATTTAGGTATAATTTACCCAGTCAAAACTATAACAATCACCAATCAAGGATGTTTTGAACCTCATTGACAACTCTGTAATTTCAGCTTCCTGTTGTTGATGCCAACATATCATCAAAACGTATATCCAATTACTAAGGTCTGTGAAAAAATAGCAGTGTTGAAAGGTTTCAATGTTTCTTCTACTTTTTAGACCACTCTGCTATTCGGCATCCCGAAAAGATGGGAGACTCAAGTTTGTTTTTTTTATATCATAAGACTGATATCGGACAGGATTTTGAACAAATCTATCAACAATCGTGAGATGATCTGTAAACTGTATGTACCGTTTTAAATTCAGAGATCCTTAGAGCATTTTCTGTATTTCTAAAAAGGAGGAATTTTATGATAGGCCAATGTTAAAATGTAAATTTGTTAATAAGACAAACACACTTTCAAGATTCAGACTGCTTCGCTTAAGTCTAGTAAATGCCAATACCAGATTTCAATTAAAACTTAAAATAATACATGTTTAACCTATTAACTTATATTAATAACAGCCTACTTCCACAGGCATGTGATGCATTAAATAGTATGAGAGACATCCTTGCAATAATAATTTATTACTAAAATGTATTGTTAAAGGGGAATGCCGTTTTTTTTTTTACATTGGGCCCTTGATTTTACGTTATTACATCATGTTCTACTCACCCATATGAGTTCTGTGTCATTTGGAGCTGTTCTGGAGATATTCCATTAGGTAATATCCAAGTAGCGTGTTCCTATGGGCAACGACTTGAAGGCACAAACTAAACTGTTCATAATTTATAACTTATGGTACTCCAGCATTCATAACGTTGGCGAATCACTGTCCCCCAGACATCCGTGGTTATATTTTTATATTTATATTTTTTAAAAACAATGTGGCGCGTGTATGACGTCATCTGCGCGCTGGACTGGAGTTGTGACAGGCAGCCCGGGCCACAGGCGGCTACGCTCTACCCCTTCTAATCGTTCGGCTAGCTAATCTAGCTAACCTACATGTTATGAATGCTCGTGTACCATAAATGATAAATTATGAACAGATTAGTTTGTCCCTTCAAGTCGTTGCCCATAGGAAGACGTTACCTGGATATAACCTAATATCTTCAGAACAGCTCCAAATGACACAAAACTCATATGGGTGAGTGGAACATGATGTAATAACGTCAAATCAAGGGGCAAATGTAAAAAAAAATAAATAAAAAATGGCATTCCCCTTTAAAGGAGACTGCCACAAAGACAAAGCAAGCATTGAACTCAACAAATACAAGCATAATAACTAAGCCTTTATATTGCCCACCATCAGTGTAATCAGGATGAGAATATCATACAAATGGTGTTAAGATAAATTTTAATCAAAGGTAATGGGTACCAATTTAACAAGCAGTAGATGCTTTATCATTAGTGAGCCATTTCTCAGGTTTGTGCTTCAATCATAGGATTTACGATTACGCTACTTGCTATGTACTATCACAAAATCAGGTTTTTATTTGCCGCTGGTAGCTTAGAGGTTTTTGTTGCGTTTGTTTAAATGACAGCTCTATAAACCTATCCAGAACATAACTTAATGAGGTTTTATAGGCCTAGTAATGACATGTTCTATCATACTTACAAGATAGGACAATAATGGCTTGACGTAGAAATATAGTAGGATGTTTTTTTTGGTTTTCTTTTTTTTTCAAGGCAGAATATTTTGTTTCTCTTCCTAATTAAGAAACTGTTCATTGTCAGCATCAAAAAACGAATAAAAAAAATCATTAATTGTTTTTAGGGGATATTTTGGATATTCATGGTATAATGCGTATTGTTCTTAATTAAGAATACGTGTTTCTAAATTAACCTTTTATGGGTATTAAACTTTTCATACGACTGTAAGGAGTAAAACCCTGTAATTTTATTATTTATGATTTAGTTGATGAGGATCGGATGATATCCAAATGATCTTGATGTTGTTTCTTATGGAATAATTTGACATACATCTCTTCAGATGGTTCAGTCAGACAACACGGTCGGTTAAAAAGCGTCCAAATGCAGTTGAGTTAAATTTACAGTTATTAAGTAGTGAAGATTGCAAATATTTAGTGGACAATTGTGACGCTATGAAGATTGCAAAATTTAAGTAGGCTGCCCAACAAAATCTGCAGCTCTTGAAAGCAAACACAGTGTAGCCGAACCGACAAGCCGGCTAACCATTTGGAAATTTCCAGTTACAATGACACAGATGTAGTCTCAAGTCACCATTGCAAACATTACGAGGGACGTTTAACCAAAGAGAGACTGTTCTCTGGGCGCCAACTGACCCAGCAGAGACAAACATGTGGGTCCCCAAGCAGCTAAACTCTCTCTGCGCAATAAAACTAGCTGAGGTTTGGCTAACTGAAACTAACGTCCCAAACTATTGTTTCCCAGACAACTTGTACGAAGCAAATTGATTAAAATATCATACCTGGTAACCCGTAGGTGTTGTCAATAGCTAAATACATTTGCCAGTTTAACATGCTAAAAGAAGAAGAACCACATACAACAATGCGGTGCTCATAAATGCTAACTCAAGTTAGCTATATATGCTAATACTTTAAATTCAACTTCATTGCAAGATGCAACTTAGTACACAACTATGAACTTTTATACCGATCTACGGTTACTTTAATAACATTGTCGTGTATATAGATTTCTTGATACGCGTAATGTTAAACTTGTCTTAACGTTTAACTCTTGTGGTTTGACCTGTCAGCTCCGTCCCTACTGCTAACTTCAAGCTAGTTCGCTAGCATTTCGTAAACGTGCTAGCAGCGCGTGGAGGCCACGAGCGCTAACAGCAGGCCATAAAATGTCTCCAAGAAAACAATAACAGAACCCGGGAAACGGTGGCAACGCGATCCCTGCGCTGCGCTCCATGTGTACTCTTCATTTGAGAACTTTTATCAGTTTTACCTGCTTGCTCTTGGCGTAAGGTTTAGAAGCGATGTGATATCTCCTGCTTCTAATTTTCCCTCCACCCGTGGCCGCCATGGCTCTTTCGTCTGAGTGTCTATCGATATTTCGGCGCCGGATAGCTGTCATCCAGGACAGCGGCCACCTGCAAAGGAATTGTGGGAAATGTAGTACCTGAACCAAACAAAGGATACCCACATTCTCGACCACAGAACTGGGTTTATGTGTTAAAATACCCAAAATACGCTATGGTAGTTTTGTATATGTCAACAGCACATCCATAAAGCATTGAGTAAAGGTATGGGATTCTACCTCATTGGCCAAATAGAGAAACAAAACGATTAATTAAGTGTTAATCTATATAGTTTGGAATTACAGCTTCAGCACATTACTAAAATGAAAATTTATTAAAAAATAATCTAAGTGGTTTGGTATTTTTTGTGTTCAAGCATATGAAGATGAAACTGTATAAACTAAATAAATATCATCACAATTTATAAATTACAAGTGTTTCCCCTTTCCAATTTATATTTGTTTTACTAAAATGTCACAGATCATCTAGCAAAATGTAATGGAAGACACTGAGAACCTGAGGAAGTACAAAAAGCAATTTTTAAAAGACTATATAATTTTTTTTGTTAAAAAAAGCTTGCAAATCAAAACTCTGTGTAAAAACACTCACCTCTTGTGTTAAATGAATAATTACTTTTGATTTTTAATTATCTGAGATCCCTTTTACTTCATGCCTATGGATAATTACTGCCTTACCTAAGTAATAGGTTAAATAAAGCCTATTTAACAAAATTTAGTCAAGTTAATCACTCTAAAACCTTATTAAACACTACTGAATGAATGAACGAATAAATGGAATTTATTTCAGAAAATTTGACAAACAACAATAAATGAATCAACCAAATACACACAAAAGAGACAACCAAACCAAACACCAGTTTCCAAATTAACTAAATTTAATTTAACATAAATGGAAACAAAACACTCTGCCAAATAAACCTGTTGGTATATACAGCCAGAGAACCATCATTGATTAAAGTAAATTATATATATATAATATTTACATGTATGTATGTAGATGTGTGTGTTATTCATCCATAAGCCCTGAAAAGAATAAGAAGGACATTTCTAAGGCTATGGGTCTCCATGAGAACACATTTAAATGCCATTATCCCTAAATAAAGAAAACTTAGAACAGTGGTGAAATTTCTCCAGACCAGTCTTTATATCGGTTATTGATGACTCACATAGAGAACTCAGAGCAACATCTGAAGCAACAGTACGCCTTAATGGCTGCTGTTAAGGTCAGTGTTTATGATTCAACAAATATAGCCAAAAGAGTTCAGGTGAGAGCCTAAAGATAAAAACGTCTGCAAAATAAATGAAACAATGCACCAATGCCCTTTACTTAGGTAGTCCATTTTCAAGTCAAAGGACTCCAAAGGTCTTTACACTATGTTTAACCACTGATGGAGAGAAGCTACACTGTAGCCACAGCTAACACGGGGCACACTAACAATATCTTACACACTAACATTATCTTGCAAAAACACACAAAAAACTGAGTTTGATGAGATTAAACTAGCAACCCTGCGGTTGTGGGATGAATGTTTGCATCTTATAGCATTGTCATCACTCACAAGACTGTTGGAAAATGATAAGGGGACCAATGAGATACACAGTTTAACTTTTTGGATGGTGTGAGAACCAACCGGGTGAAAATCAACACTGTTTGCTCCATCGCAGCAATCTCAGACAAAACATTTCAAAGCAAATTTCAATTAAAATCGGTTTAGGACTCTGTTATATGACCTTAAAGATGCTTCTTATGCTTGAAAATTGTTGCTGAACTGAAACAATTCTGTGGTACCTAGAGGAAAATGACTCCTCCGCAGTGAGGAAAAACATGACCTCACCGTCCAATTTGAGCTCTTTTGTTGTTTTTTATAAGAATGGTCAAAAATAAAATACAAGCCACCAAATGTGTAAAAACACATTTAAAAAAATCTTATGTTATAAGAAATAGAGTAATATACATAATTTATGATTTTCCTTCTACTTAACACCAACATTTAAGTTTTCAGCCTTTGAACTATTTGTGGTGGAAAAATCCGTTGTACAGCAAGTTACCCCAAACACACCATATTCATGCTAAAGTATGGCAGTGGCAGTATCATGTTGTATTTCTTTTTTTTCTTTTTTTATCCAGGACCGGTATGCTATAAATAGCATTCAAAAATCCTTATAAAACCTATAGAAGACGTGATACTGGAAAAATGGTTCACCCTTGAAAAGACTAATGAACTTGAGAATGCAGTGAAACCTACAATCCCTAATATGTAAACCAAAAGCTCAGTTAAAGTCCAAGCCTAAATCTAATTGATAATTTCTATGAAAGATACTGACTAGATTAACAGAAAAGTTAAAGCAACCAAATCAGAGCTTGTGCCAATCTTGAGCCAAGACAGTAAAATGGAATCACCAACACTGCTGTGAAGAACTTTACCAGTCTCGTCTTTAATTATAATCCTTTAAAATTTATTAATTCATCACTCACAACTCTGTGAAAATTAGCTGACGACAGTTTGAATCATAAAAGTAGGGTTTGAAAGATGGACTTCTTGTTGAAAAGTCAAATTCTCTGTTCATTTAATTCTCCTGTACCTTAAGGATATTTTGCAATTTCTTAATGGAATATAACTAGTTTAACAACAAAACAAGGAAAAATGTAGTCTGACTTAACATCAGGGATGGTTGTCCTCATATTGTGTAGGTCACTGTTTCCCAACTTTTTTTTAACTTTTGTACCTCTTTGGGCATTTGGTCTTACCATGAGTATCCCTCTCAGTCAAAAGTAGGTAATTGTCCAAAAGTGGAACGTGCAATAACTCAAATAAAGACTATGTCGAGACTGATCTCTGTGAGAAGCAGAACAGAGATATACAAAAGATATTTTGTCCCAGCTTCCATTAGACGGACTTGAAGGACTGAGTTTTATTTAATTTTTTTTAAATCTAATTATGTTTTTTCTAAATCTAATTATGTTTTTTTTTTTTTTTTTTTTATCTTTGCTATCGAGCAGGGGAATTTCCCATCTATTCATTCCTTTTAATTTGAGCATTTAATTTTATATATATGCTTTCTATCACAAATAAAAAAAACAAACAAAGCGAATATGTTGCCTGGAAGTTATTAAGGAATCAAAATAAATACAAGATAAAATCATATTATGTGCCTGTATTTAATAAAGTGGAGCTCCTCTGAGTAACTCCCTTATAATCACATTTAAAATTGATGAATGGGGAACAAAATACAGAGCAAAAATTATATTCAGAATGACTTAGTTCTAAACTTACTTTTTGGTGGAAAAAAAAAGCTTGTTTAATTTTTTCAATTGGGTCCTCACAAAACAAAATAGAGACCCAACCCTAATTATTCTACTACCTAAGAAATACAATATTTTCATGTACCACTAGCCATGCAAAGCAGACCAATAGGGGTACACGGACCACTGGTGGTACGAGTGATAAATTACTGAACAACTGTTAATATCTCAGAGTCCAACAGTGAAAAAAAAAGAAAAAAAACCTTCTGGATGTTGACAGCAATTAAATTATTTCAAAGATTATTCTCAAAAACGGATATTTATTCAATGTGCCCATTACACTGTGTAGAAAAATCAAGTTAGAATCAAACATTGGCATAGGTAACCTTACCAAGTTTAAAGCAACACAACTATCATACATTTTTATTGTTAAGTAATAATTCACAGGAAGACTTCAGTGTTCAAGGCACAAACATTACTCAAGTTAGTGCTAATTACTTTGTCAAAATAAAAAAATTGCAAACTAGCAGTTTATAATGTGCAGAACTAACAATGTTACCAACTCAAGTTTTATCTTGAGTCCTAAACATAGTTTAATAACGCTAAAGGACAATCAAATACAAATAGCAGAAAATTAAACACACTTTTACAATCAAACATTTACAAAAGCATCATATTTTCAGAGGTTATTATTAGTAGTCAGAATAAAAAACACTAAGCTTAGATGCTTCAGTAACAGTAGTTTGGTCTCATCATCGGTTGGTACAAAACACTTAAGTGCAGCTTTCATCTAAGAAAAGCCCTTTAAACCTTTAACTGGATCAGATAAAAGTGCAAAATTCAGATATTTCAACTGAAATAATTAATTTGATTTAAATATGTATAAAGAGGTCAATTTATTTTTAGTGCATATTTAACATCATGCTGCAGTGAAGCAGCATCAAAACAGTGCTTAAGGTAGATTTTAATACTCCACTTCAGCCTTTTTTGTTACTTTTAACATCAAGAACTATAATCAGGCAGTTTAACAAAGCTTTAAACCTGCAGATACAGGTCATTTCTGACTCTCAAACATATTAGAACTTCAAGCTGAATCTTAAAAATGTCGCCTTTATCACAGTTTTTTGGTTTTCAGTGACTCAAAAAGAAACAAAACATTGTTACAGGTGTAAATATCAATTATATATTAAATCTACCATCTAATGGTCCCTTAAAAAAACAACAACCAAAAAACCTGAATAATTTCTTCACTTGTTCATCGTTTCTTCCCCCCTTGGCTGCCAATAACCCTGTTCCTAGCAGGGCCCTTTCTCCGTTTTGTTGGCTGGAGATGTTCAGATGAATCGGTCTGATCTAAGAGGCAAAAAAACAATACGACCCAGCTACGGTTAATATTTAGAGAAAATGCCATTGAATAAAACTTTATTGCTATGAGGCCTACCTATCTGATCATCAGGGCTGGAACTATACAAGTCAGACACACCTCTGTCATCTGGGTCGTCATTTTGTAAAGAAACGCTCTGTTGACAAAAAAAACAAAACGCCTTCTGTGACATGGTGGTTATTTGTTTTAAATAAACACTTCAACCTTTAACTTTACATTTTGAAATAGGAAACAATCTGTCATGATTTTTAAAACTAATCATTAATGAGCTAAATTAAAGAAGGTATGTATTCATTTAGAGCAGTTAAAGAGAAAAACAAACATTCTAAGCAAAAACCTTAACTGCAATATTTTGGGAAATAATTTTTTTAACTCCATGCTTACTTTAAATTTTAAAAGAAATCAACCCACAAATACTATATAGACTAGTCTGATTTGTTGATAGGTTTGTTTTACGAGTGAGAGACACCAAAACAAAACAAGAGATCCATTATAATCTGGAATTTTACAAACCTGTGGATTAGTGCTTTTATGCCAAAAAAATAAAAAAATACTCAATAGATAACTCTGATCTCAACATCTGATGATTATTGTGCAATTAATGGCATCACTGACAAGAGCAAAGGATGGTTCTCACCTTTAGCTTACTTTGTTCATACCAAACCATGCCATATAGACACAGGAGGGTAATGAGCGCCTGAATGAAAAGAGAAGAAAAAGGTCAGTTGACATAAACATTTAAACTAATTTTTGTTTGCAGTGAAAATAAATAATACATTGTTTTGTGGTCTTTTTCCCCTAAAGAATCTGAAAACACATTTGGATAACATACAGGCTGTAAAAGACAAGAGCTGGAATATTTGGGAAAATATCCACATCAGACATTAGTCAGTCTTTTTAGGATTTCATTTTCTAATCCATTTTACCTTCTCCCGTTTATGTACCACATTGTCCTGTTCTTTCACAGAAAAGCCTAATAGAATACATTGAACCTTTCAACAGTTACCTGAGAATTTCCCCCCCCCAATTGTTTTAAATGTATTTCCCCATCACATGTTTTTCTCTTCAAGTTTATACTGTATATTGTGAAATAACCAAGGAAAAGTTAAATATTTTTGAGATTTTTATCATGTGAAAGGTACCTATCCATACTCCCCAGCCCTCAGGAGAATGGTCCACATTCTGAGTGTTCAAATAAACTACAACTAAAAATCACAAACATTGATCAATATATTTTCTTACCAGGCAGAGCAACCAAAGGACCACATACCAAATTTGAGTCTTGGAAAATAAGTCAAGACCAAATTTTACACAAGCAAGAGCTTCCAGGAATGCAATGGCTCTAAAGGAAAGAAGACAGCAACAACAAAAAAAAGCCAATGAGCTCTTGAATGCTGTCTTTCAACATTGAAACATAAAACAACTGCTCCCTCTTATGGCAAAACATTTAAACTGCACCATCAGGTCTCTGTCAGACATGCAGGGTCATTAGTTGGTTTATATATTCCTCCCCCACTCCTAAACATAGACCTAATCATGATTTTCGGAAATGTACCTAGAAAATCTCACAATTAGGGATTTCTAATTGATGGTGAAGGCTCATGCTGTTGCCCTAGCAACTGCTGCAGACTAAGGGCATCAATTTATTTGTATTTAAAGGTATAGTGGAGGATGTTCCTTTTTGTCACCTTTCCATGTGCTTTTTTTTTTTTTTTTTAGACCTTTGAATTATTGCCCAAAGTGCAGAGACGGTTGAAGTTGAAGCTAAAGCCAAAAGACATTTTCTTCTAAGAGAGTGTTCTGAGGAACACATATTTTTAAAGGAGCAGATAAGATAATCTTGCCTTTATGGCTTGTCATGTTAAAAGCACAGGGACTAAAAAAGCACAGCAGGAAAACAATACTTTCTCAGAGAAATCTTCTTTAATAAATTATTGTACTTAAAGTAAATACTGCATTCTTACAGTGTATGATTATATAAAAAGTTTATTTCTATCATATTTAAAATGGTGTAACAATAGGTGAGGAAGGGCCTTTAGTAGGATAATATTTGCAAATTTTATTGCTGCTACTTAAAAGTTATTCAGTATAATTGACAAACTAGAAAATGTTATTAAGAGAGAAATTATAAAATAAGAAAGAAAACTTACCCAAACACCCAACACTGTGTGCCAACCCGTTTACACTGAGTGTCCGTCAGGTATGCATAATACTGTCTGTTAAAGCATAAGAACATCTGTGTCAACATAAATAGTCATACAAAAGGAATGTAATCATGTGTAGAAAAAAATGTGGAAGACAGTAATCTACATCCATGAGCTATTTCTCTATAAGCAGCTTATTTTTCACGTTAGAGGAAACTTTTCTTGTTCTATTAACCTCCATTATTTTCTGCGAGAAAATTATGCTGTTAAAGAAGATATTTTCAAAGATTGAACACACCGCACTGTGGGTGCAGTGATCATTCCAATTAGCAGGATGCGACACCAGCTGAGAGGGTGGGAGGCCTGGAAGATGAAGATGTGCTTCAGGAAAAAGGTGTTCAGCTCCGTCAACTGCAAACAGAAATGAATGAAAGTTGTTAACAGCCGTCTAAGGGATGTGTTAAAGAGAAGATCTTTGTTTGAAATGCTTTATCAGCTCCAATAAACTATCAACACCCAATAGTATTTAAATATATACCAAAGACTTTAAGAGTATTAAAGGTTTAAGCAGAGAACAGAAGATGGACACAACCTGCCATAAGATCATAAAGAGGTAGATTCCTGCCAGCCTCTGGGACGAAGACTTTGGATCAAACCAGCGCACGTAGGTCCAACTGGCTGGAGTGAACTGAAGCACGGCTCGCTTTAATTTCCCCGTGGTTGAGTGGATTTCTCTGAGCACAAGCAGAACATTAGAAATAACTGACATTTGGCATTTTTTCACTAAATCGCTTTATTATTAATGTTTTTTTAACAAAACCAAAAGGTCTTCAAAAAACCTTCTGGATTATGATATTTTTGACAAATGTCCGTAGGGACTATTATTAACTGGGTCAAAGTCAGAAATTGGACCTTCTTTAATTACTATGCCAATATGTGACCAGTGAATTTCTCCGCTGTGAGATCAATAAAGCTCATCTAATCTAATCTAATGAAATTCAATTTCTTAGGGGACTTAAACCACCTTTGTAAGCAGCAATAATGAGGTTTCTTTAAGCTGGTGGTGTCCAAACATTTTGCAGAGATCATCAAAATAAAAGAAAAAATATATATATTCATTAAAATTGTAAAAGTAATTATATTGTGGTTTAGTAACTTAAAAATGTACCAAAAAGTGATAATAAAAAAATAACCAAATGGGTTGATTTTTGTAGAAATGGGAGTTTGTAAAAGAATTTAGATGTAAAAGATTTTAGATTTGAAGAGTCTTGTATCTTGTTAAAAGAAGAGTACACCATTTCCTTATTTCTTGGGTCTGTTTTGTTGATCTAGAATTATTAATTTTTTTTTCCTATGCTCTGCAGCAAGACGTGGAAATGAGTGCCTCTTTCTTTGAAAACAATGCTTTTAGCCAAGTTTACCGAATAACTTAAAGTAAGGGTGCCCAGGTTTTTTTGGTGTTTAATTTGTCAGAATTCCAACTATTAAGACCCAATTATTACCAGCATTGCTACTGGCCTCATGAAGACCAATATGTATGCTATGAGAACATAAGATGAGGCCAACACTGACTTGATGCTGGCCCAGCGATAGGTCCTCATCTCCAAGTAACGGCAGATTGTCATCCCCAGCCAGATTCCTCCTCCGTTACACAACAGGATGTCCAAGATGACCTGATCCCACCAGCACTCTGCAAAGTTTGGCAGAAGGTGCATGAAGAAGAGCTGGGAGAGAGGGTCAGAAGGGCAGAGAGCAGAGTGAATGTCAAAACAGCAAAAAGGTACAGTTTTTTTTATTGAACTTCATGAGACTGATATGGGTTTAGTGGAGAAGTATTATAGAAAGATGAACTTATTCTGATAGGGTCTACAGTTTTTTTTTTAAATTAGTTATACTAAATGTGAGCATTTTATTTTTTTTTATTACAGTTAGAAATAAAGATAAACTAACTAACACTAGTGAGAGTACACAGCATACTCATGCGCAAATAACTAAGAATCACAACCAGCAAAGACTGCTGTGGTCTCGCCATGTTTTCTTTTTACCTCAGTGAGTTCCCAGGTGATGCTGATGGTCCAGCACAGGCCGTAGCTGCGGATCAGCAGAGCCTTCATGGCCCATCCTGCGAAGTGGCCGAAAGCAAAGATGTCGAAGTGGCTCAGCACACGCTCCCATGTTATCACGGTACAGTTTACTGCATATTCCTATAGAAGGACAAAGTAGCCAATAGATACAGACCAATTTTCTCTTACAGGCAGATATTCTATCTTATTGTCCTAAAGTTTCAATTGGATGTGAAATTTTAACTATTTTTAGCTAAAACAAATGTTTTAATGTGAATGAAAATAAATGATAGAATGCTTTGTAATCAAAAGGGATTAAATCGTTTTATATGGTAGATCTGATGCACTTTTTGTTCAGACAGACATCTTAAGCACATATAAGTGTTAAAAACCAAAGGGAATAAGTTTCTCTTTGCTCTGATTTTTCATAAATCAATGGAAGTTGGGGAAGGGAACCATCCCTACCATGATGTCAGCTTCCCGTTTGGCAAAACGCAGATTGGGATCAAGCCAGTACATCAGAGTCTTTACTTGATCCCAATTGAGGAAGATGAGGAAAACGAGAAAAAGGAAGTAGAGCACGCTAAGACCTAGCAGAGACGAGAGAAAACACAGTGAAAATTAAGTCAAAGATGATTTGCATATGAAGAACATCTTTTGGTAACTCACCAAACACCATTCTCCATATCGCAGGATGAGGCCTTGTAAAGGGTCCTAAAGAAAAGAGCATTAGTCATTTTATGAAGAGTTATTTTTATGGGACAGGTGAATAATTCAAACACAAGGATAAAGAAGATCTGGGCTTTAGGTAACAATTATGTATATTTAATAGAACCATAACCCACTTTGAAAGTATTTTTTCTTTTAGTGATAAAAAAAAAAAAAAATGAATTATACACTCAAACTGCAAATTGATATCTTTGCTACCGTTTTTATAAAGTTTGCTGCTTCAACATGTGAATTCTTCATGTCTCTCAATGAGATGTAATCATATAAAATAAAAATAACTGACATAAATATTATATGACTGCAAAGAAATTTTAAAATCTGCAATAGGAAACTGAAGCTTTTGTGAAGAAAAATGTGACCATGTTCTTTAGTCCAGTTAGAGGAGCGCTTGTCAGAAAAATCTGATAAAGCATCACACAAGTTTAAACAATGTAAAGCTTGAAGAACCAGTGTTGCTCTTTAGCTCTTACAGGCGAGTTTTATGATACGAGGAAGAATATTAGCTAATCCCTCATTTCTTTGTATTTTGTTTCTAAGAAGTCACACCTTTTCATTGATACTCAGAATTTCTTAAGATAAGATCATTTTCAGAAAATGGCTATTGACGGTTTGATAGTCTTAGGTTAGGTTTGATAGGCCACCCCTACCATTGTTCCCTCTAATACAGATGGTGGCAGCAGTAATACTCTCAAGTGGAATATTCAAAACATTTTAATTTTCTGTGGTTAATTAAACACATCCATATACTAACATCAAAGATGATAAGTACAGAATTCATGCTCTTTTTAGAACTAGATTTTGTGTTTTATGGGGTAAATAGAAAATTATGTCTCTGCGAGTCATCTAGGGGTCTCCAGTGAAATCAAAGATAAATAACAATTTCAATAAAAACTTTTCAAATAATCAATTTATGTAGATATTAGTGCTTTCAAATATCAATGTTATGCAGAATGTTTATTGATACAAGTAGGTAAGTAATGACAATGATTGATTTACGCCCCAAAACTCAAAACTGAGTTTTATCCACTATACCTTTTATCTAAAAATTACAGATGTTTAAATATATGCGTCTATTTGTTAGCAAAGGTTTTAGGAAAGTATAGTTAGTCTTTATTTAGAAAATAGGGATTTTTTGCTCGTTCATTTTCCTGTTGGAACTGTGTAGATTGACCCTGGGGTCATTCAAGGGCTCATCTAATTGGTCAGAGGCCAAAATAAGATGTACAGCCATGTAGGAGCATCTTTGCTGAATGGCTGGATATAGATCTTGTGCTTCTAGACCTCACTGAGGGACGGGGAGCTCCGTTTGTAAGGGTATGCAACTAGTTAAAATGAGGTCAATCTGTGTAGATTGACCTGAGGGTCAATCGCCCACCCCTCAGTGTACATTGGTTATTGCCTGGCCACCCTTATAAAAAATGTTGGCTTCACCTCTGGGGCCGAGGACAGTTTAAGTCTATAGTGTTTTAAATCGGATCCCTCTCTTGTCTACCATTTGTTGTCCCCTCCCTCAGCTCTATGCACTCCATGATATGAAGCTTTCACTAAATGGACAGGACTACAGGAAAAGACCCCTTTAAGACAGCAAAAAAAACCCCCCCCAAAAAAACAGGATAACTGAAAGCATGATATAATTTCAACCATCCCAGGTTTATGACTTCATACTCTCATTTCATAATTATATTTAATCCACAGCTTACCATTGGGAAAAGCCAGGATGCTGATGACCAAGAAGAAGGAAACAACCACTAATAGACCGACACGAAGGTTGTTGTCAGAGTTTTCATCGTCCCTGTCAAAATAAGGGTTTTTCCCATAAACAAACTGTTGAGATTAAATAGCTAAATCTAATGTAGCCTACCTGGTGAAGGCAAAGTACATGAGACTAAGCACAGTAACTGTCAGAAGGCTGATGGTGTGTGGCTTGTAGAAGAAGTCAAGACAGATATCTTCCACTTGTTGCTCATTTATCATTCGGAAATGCAGTATATAGTTATTATCTTGGCTCCTCGATGAGCGGAGAACCGCCGTGGCTGCCATGTTACTGTCCCTAAACTACTCCGTAAGTTATTCTGATATAATTTTACAACCGAAAGCCGAACACCAGCAGACTTTGGAGACAATCCTCAGAGCCTGGATAACCAGCTCTAAGGAACCTGGAGGGCGGACTGAACCACTTTACTTCAATAAGGAGGGGTGCATAAACGTTGATGAGTATTTTTTCAAATATACCCATTTGGAACAAAATGTAAAAATATATATTAAACCTATATTTATTTACTATAATGGGTTTCTAAACAGTTCCATTGAATAAAGAACACGCTATAAAAAATATAATTATTGACCAGTGATGAAACCACAAGCAATGGAACGTCTGAAAATATGGGACGTTTGGGTGCAGATCTTCCGTCCATGTCCACGTGAAAAACAATTTATATTTCTTAACGTTTCAACTCCATGTTTAACTTAATATCACGGAAGTGTAATCTTAATTTAGGTTGCCACAGTAAGAGACCAAGGTTTGAATAGAAACGTGAGTATTTTAATTGTCCCGTTGTTTTGTTACAACCAGGGTTAGCTATGTGATTTTTAGGGTTGCTATAAACTTAGCATGTTAGCATAGCATAGTCACACCAGCCTCTTAGAGGACATTATAAACAACTACCTGAAAAGTGAATTTACACTTGAATAGCTTTATAACATAAATTTTAATTACGGCATCATGCGTTATATGAAAAAAATCTATATTTATATGTTGTTACAAGTGTAATTACTTGCAGATATACTGCATACATCGAGCTGGACAAACATTAAATTCTGTTAAGTTATTCAGTTACCCTTGAAAATACAATTGCATTAATATTAAATGGTTATAGCTTGTCTAATTTTAAATATCGTTTTTACAAGAAATCTAATAATTGAAATTATTTATTCATATAATTTGTTTGGCTTGATCTTTATCTCATCTTGTATCTATTCATTGAATAAAAATTAAATGACCTATGATCAGAGTTATCTATACAAATAAAGCTGATCTTTGAACTGATTCCACACCTTTTTTTTTTCCTCTGTTCTTTTCCTGGCTGCAGTGTCTATAGAGAGGCTTCTTCTAAGCATAGGGTGTGCAGATGTCCTGATCTGTGCATTAATGTTCTGCATTTACCACTTTTGCCCTGCATCCCAATAACAAGCACTTGACTGGGTTAAAATATAAAATAAAACAAAAGTGTTTAACATCTGTTTTAGATGTAATGAGAGCAGAGCTGCAGCTAGAAGAAAGATGACTTAGAGCAGGATTTTTAATTATTTTCACTTTCTATGGGAGCCAACATAGGGAGGCCTACATTGAACGTGAAATCTATACTTTCAAAAACATATCTAGAAAACCTGATTAGTTCACTCAGCCTGATAATGGATGATTTCTTTTGTCATTGTTTTCAAACCTCTTTTTTTTTTTTTTTTTTTTTTTCCAGGATTACCATGTCCTCTGCCTGCGCACAGCTCTGTCTGCGATGTAGAGGGTTTCTTTCCTCAATGAACAGCTCCCGTCTGTACTATGTTCAAATTCAACATAGTGTGAGAAAAGACAAATCTACCAAAATCGGCGAAGGATTGTTATCCAGAGGAAATCACACAGCAGCTCAGACAAGACTGAGCTGGAAACGTCCAACGTCTTGCTACTTTGGTATTACAGCAAAATATCTGACAACCGAGACGGAGGAAAGCAAACTTGGAACTGACATTGCTGAATACAAGCCTGCTCTGTTGCCAACAGTAGATGTTTCACCCTGCCCTCCAAATTTGATTCCTCCTGGTATGTATTGAGTCTCTGTCGTCAAACATTATAATTGACAATGCGATAAAACAATTGCTCTTTAAGCATTAAATTGCTTCTGACTTCCTGTTTTTGTTTCCTTTATTAAGAAGACCTGGATGCTAATGACCACTGTTCAGCACTGGAGGAAATCAGTGATGAAGAAGCTGCTGCCATTTCTATTCCTCCCTCTATTCCTCCATCCTCTGTGTCTCTTCGCGACTATGTTGACAAGTCGGAGACACTTACAAAGCTGGTGCAGCTTGGTAAACAACTCATAAAACCTTTTTCTTTCTTTCTTCTTTTTTTTTTTTGCTGTTTCAGAGCTCAAAACTTAAAATTTAGTTTGATTTTTCAATCACATTTTGTTACAGGGGTAAGTTTGTGGAAGCTGGAGCAAAGACCCAATGTTGGCTCCATGTTGCTTAGACTTGATTTCAACAGAGATGTAGCACCTCGCCTCTTGTTTTTAAAAGAAATTGGAGTGGAGGACTCTCGTCTAGGCTACATCATCTCTCACAATCCATTCATCCTCTCAGAGAGTTTGGAAAACCTGCAAGCCAGGTAACATGAAAATATACACTGCCTGGAAAAAATGTTCACACCCCTTAACACTTTTAAAGTTTTTGTCACATTACAACAACAGACCTCAGTGTATTTTATGTGACAAATCACCAAAATGTATCTCTTAAATTTAGCCTGTTGAAGTTAATACATTATAGAATATGCTATGGCAAAAATTGTAGCAGCAATATGGGTTCAGCTCATTCAGACTGGATGGAGAGCATTTCATAGTAGCATGGAAAACATTTCAAGAATTCCCTCGGATGTTTTTTATCATGTCTGACCCCTTCCCAAAAGCCTGATACTTGTATTATCACCATGTATTACTGTTAGGATGATGTGTTCCAGGTAATGGGAAGCGTTAGCTTTCCGTAATGCCAAGTGTTTTTTTTGTTTTTTTTATATGCAGGCCAAACATAAATTTTTGTCTCATCTGACCAGGGCATCTTCTTCTATATGAACCCTACTGTTGTACTTTCTAGATCTGTTTATTTAGGCGAAGGGTCATGTTATACAGCTTTCTAGAGTTTTCAGATGATAAATTGAGCAAGGCTTTATGAGGTTTTCAATTTTTTTTTTTTTTTTTACAATAAATCACAATAGGTTACATCTGCTAATAACTGCTTTTTGCAGAGATGGAGGATCTGGAGTTAACAAGTCATCTCTATGGCTATGTTTACACTGCTGGCCTTGATGCTCAGTTACGATTTTTTTGTGAAATCCGATTTTTTTTACGTTGCTATTCACATTTCCAAATATATGCGCTTTATATGTGATCTCCTGTGTGAACTGCAGTCATACAGCTTAATTGTCCCGCATGCGCAGTAGATGACACAATGACATCAAAAGCCAGCGTGCTTCGTGTTTACGGAAGTAAACATAGATGTAGCGCTTAAAACCTCAATCTTTTTGAGATGTTTAAAAAAAGATACTGCTCTCTGCATCATCGTCCACCGTGGTGTTTGTTTTTCTTGCCATTTATGTTTAGCAAGAAGCAGAATAGTGACCTTTGTTGGGTATTGATGGTGTTCAGGTCAGATGAATGCGACCTGGCTGTTCAGACATAAGTCGCATTTGAAAGGATCAGATTCATATCGAATTTAGGACCACATAGCCAAGTCGCCTGGGTCACATTAGAAAAAATCAGATCTGTGTTGTTCAGATTGCCATGAAAGGAACAGATCACGGTCAAATGTGGGCAAAAAAATGGGATTTGGGTCACTTCAGGGTGCAGTGTGAATGTAGCCTAAGTCATGTGTTTGTTCTGCCCAGCCAATTAACCAGGTGAGTCCAATCTTCACAGGTTAATTCACTATGCAGATTGGACTCACCTGGACTCACCTTTAATTATCCTATTTTGGGAAAAATTAATGGATAAAGCCATGAAGAATTATTTTTCTATTTAAAATTAATAGACTGCCTTGTGTTGATTCATCACAACAAGTTCCAAATTGGTACATCAAAGTTTTTATGAAGAATAAAAATACTTATACCGAATACTTTATTTAGGACACTTGTTAACGTTTCCTTCTCCCTTATATTGATGATTTTTTCTCTTGTTTTTACCAAGGGTGAACTATCTAAAGTCGAGGAAGTTCAGTTCAGAAACGGTTGCATCTATGGTCTCCAGAGCGCCATATCTGCTTAACTTCAGTGTGAAGAGGCTGGACAACAGACTGGGTTTTTATCAGCAGCAGCTTAAACTCAGTGCTTCCAATGTATGTTATATGAGATCATCTAGTATCAAATAAAATTATTGCTGAAATGATAAGTATTTTTTTCTGTTTTTGACAATAAGAAAATTAAGAAAACACTAACAGACCATTTCTAATCTCTCTACAGACGCGGAATATTGTTGCTCGTCTCCCCAGGTTACTTTGTGGCAGCTTGGAGCCTGTTAAAGAAAATTTGAAGGTATAGAGTCAGAGCATAACATGTAAAAAATAAAAACAGAATTTGAATTTATTTTTCGACGGCATGCAAAACCACTTTTTAAAATTTATTTTTTCGTAATGTGTTCTACAGGTGTGTAAAATAGAGCTTGGGTTTAAGGAAAATGAGATCCAGCATATTGTTATTGCCGTCCCTAAGGTGTTGACAACCAATAAAAAAAAGCTAACCCAGATATTTGACTTCCTTCATAACACCATGAAGGTTCCCCACCACCTGATCACAAAGTTTCCACAGGTAGGTGGCCTCAGCTATTTATTTTAAGCTTTAAAAAAGTGTTTTATCTTTTCCTTGTGGTTTTTATTTAAAATGAAACCTTTTTCTTTTATTTTATTTTCATTTTACTATTTTACTATCTCTTAAGGTCCTCAATACAAAGTTCCTTCGTCTCAAAGAGCGACACCTGTTTCTCCAGTATCTCGGAAAGGCTCAATATGAACCAAACCTACCCAGCTACATCTCATTGGACCGCTTGGTGTCCTTGCCAGATGAGGTCTTTTGCACGGAGCTGGCTTTGGCCACATTGGAAGATTTTTATCTGTTCCAAAAGACACTTTGATTCTTTATGGTTTGGATGATAGAAGTGGCCCCACAAAAAAAAGTAAATTACACTGAAGACTGAATGGATGGAGATAAATGAAGTATGTTTTGTAAATATGCTCAAAAAAATTATGCATATCACCTTCTGTAGTAAAATTATCCTTTGTAAAAATGATAACTGTGTAAATTACATTTCTTCTATTTGCAAGTTTGAATGTTTAAGTTTATGTGAATAAAACATTCTTTTTATTTAAAGTTAACAATCTGTTTTAACTGCTCATGCTATGTATCCATTTCTCACCTGTTTAATTCAGTTTTATGCATCAGGATGTCTTGGTTTACTTTAAATTTCAACTTTAAACTTTTTTACTATCTAAATGGGTTAAAATAATGTATATTCATGGTGCCACATGTCTAACCTCTCAGTTCTGAACTTTAAATGCAAATTTGTTTATTGCATTCAATAGAATAGAAATATCCTTTATGCTTTTGCAGAGAAAAAATACATGTATGTTAGAGGCAACATGAGAAAACTTCACATGGGAATCAAAAATAAGAATTGACCATACAGTAAAGGAGAAACCTACATCTTCAAGAAAAAATACCCAGTTATAAAAATTGCATGCTCAAATTTGAGTGTGCAACATATGACTGTTATACCTCTATCCAGTCTTGAGAAAACAAGCAACCAGTCGTTTGCTTAAAAAAAACAAACTATAAAATATTGGCCTGAATCTAAACGGTTACAGAGTACATGTAAGAATGCAAATATAAAATGGAAGTGTAAACACTGAGCTTTTTGGGAGCAGTGATTATAAAGTCTACCAGCTGCTGAGAGGATCTGAGATGACGTTTATTTGTGTATTTAAGATGCAGCGGTTTTCCACTAAATGAGCTGTCCAGTTTATCAACAGCCTTATGCAGTGGGTGGGAGACCAACAGTGATGTTATTCTTCCTGTCCTGTCTCCAACCACCTATGCTGTGTCCAGAGGGCACCCCAAACTTACCTCCTACACATGTAGGGCATGAGTCATATGTTGTAGATCTCTGCTTTGGAAGTGTTAATATGATTATAATCTTAACTTTCTGTAAGGTCATGAGCAGTTTTTCTTATCTGGCCTTGCATCTTATTTTTTTTAAAAAAGGTTAGAGAATAATCTGGCATTCTCACTCCAATTCCGTTGTGAGTTTGCAAGGCTTGACATTGAATATATATGGGTATTTTCCCAAATGAAAAAATACACCAGTTTGTCATGGTTAAGCTTATGATAAATATGTGAATTTATAAAATATCTTATAAATCCTAGTTTGATCCTGTAAAGGTTTGGTTCTTGATATCACCAAAACTCACCGACAAGAAGATACTGACTTTAAGAAGTGTACTTATTTTAAACATTTGTATTCATTGGAAAAAACGATATTTCCTTTTAGAAGGGTTTTTTCTTTTTTACTTATTTAAGTTATAACTGGGAACATAAAAAAGAAGCAACAAAAAAATAAATAAAATAGAAATGAGAAAGATTAAGTTACCATTTATATTTTCTCTTTTACCATTATCTTTATATACATAAATTACGGTGTATGGCGTTTCTATTCGCAACTTGAATCCTTTAACTTAAAAACAAAGGCTTAAAATTTGGACCAAAAATATAGATTTAATTTTTTACGTTTTGTATTTGGAATGGATTAATTAAAATGTCTATTAGACATAAAAAAAAAAGTTAATTCCTCCACTGTGAGTTCAATAAAGTATCAATTTCATAAGTCATTAAGTAACACAGTCACTGCTTCTTTCAAATTTAGAATACTTCCCAACAGTGTTGTCTAATGCAACAACAGAAATAAAGAAATTATAAAAGTTTCAAAACCCCGCAGCTTGTACAAAACTAATGTTCAGTCCGTGCATAAAACTGGTTCCCTGTAGAAGACAGGCTTCAACATTCACTACTACTACTTGTCTGGAACACCATAACAAAGTCAACAGTCATCATTTATAAGAACTTAGAATTTTGTTCAAGTAAACACACCCATTTTACAAGAAATACTAGTATTGGAAATTAGAGCCTACCAACAGAAGAAACTAAAGCTGTTAAAAAAAAAACGTTTTCTATAGAGGAATATACCAGTGAACCTAGAATCTATTACCTCAATATATTTCATAAACAAAAAATAAAGTTCTATATAAGGTGTTATTGAAATAATATATTATAGAAACAATATGTTATTGAAACAATCTGGGGGTATGTATGTGTGAGCATACATAAGCATATGTATATTTGTATATATATATGTATATATACCTTGTTTATTGATTATGATCAAAATAAAGATATATCAATTTGAGGGTCAGTTATTATTGCTGATGAATTTGGGAAAATTACATTGATTAGTGTAGCATGGTGATTTTCACTTTCATTTATTTTTATTTTATTCATCTCTCTATGTGTTGAGTATATGTGTATATGTATGTAAGTATGTATATAGATGTATCTTTTATTTTTATGCTTTTTTGTGTGTTGCACCATTAGTGTAATTTATTTTATATGGACCCCATTAAGAAAAGCAGCAGCATCTCGCTGTAGCTAATGAGGACAGACAATAAAATACAAATAAAAACATATATATATTTTTTTAAATAAATGCCATAGAGCGAGTTTAAGCTTGATGTCACTATTTCCAGACTTTTCCGGTCTTGTGCGAAAGCGCGGAGGCGTCTTTTACCCATAACACACCGCGGTCGCTCTCAGTGGTAAAGATGGCGTCCAGGGCACCAGGTAAGAGAACACCGCTTCTGTTTAAATAACATTTCCACATCCCCAAACGTCTTGTCAGGTGACGTATAAAGACACTCGGTAGATTGTCAAACACCACGTAGCTTTATTCTTTGTCTTCTGCACCAAAATGAGTTTATTTGGCGTCTAATTTGTGTGTGTCCTTTAATGTCCCCTTGCTATCTGATGCTAACCGGCTGGGTATTGATAGCTTAGCATTCCCCGCTAAGGCTAAATAACAAAAGACGTGCCATTATAATCGATCTATAAACATTTTGAAGGTATTTCTCAATAACCAACCTTTTTTTGTATGCAGCCTTTTAAATATATTATTTAGCGATGGCCAATTGATATACTTTGTCCTGTTTATACGTTTGTTCATCAAATCAAAGCTCAGATAGTGTTTAGCTGTCAACAGCAAGCTAATGGCATTTTAATGCCATATATTTTAGAAGGCTTTTTTTTCGTCTGCATTTTGTTACACAGCAAATGACCTCCAGATAGTTATAAGGGAAATGTATATAAGTATCTCTTTGACGAAAAGGTTTTCATCAAAATAAACAGTAAATGCATGCTTTCAAATGTAAGACATAGAACTATCATACTATATGGTTTGTCCACAGCGTGTGTGTGTATATGTCAGGAAATCAACAATTGTTTGTCAGCTCTAAAGCTTTGTCAGCAGTTGCATATGTGACAGCAACATACTGAGTTACTTTGAGTTATCTGACTTATTTTATCTTTCGTTGCACTCTTTTGTTTTATATTTTTATTTTGCCTTATGCCTTTGTTATTATATAATGTCTTCGCCCTTGACTGAGATTGTTTGTGTTCATCGTGTTACAGTTGTGACAGGCCGGCTCATGCTTGGTTTCCGGAAATGGTATTACAACTTATGCGGCTTTAACAAGCTTGGTAAGTCCATTTAAGATGTTTATAAAGTAGAATATAGAAATTTTGTACGTTTAAATCCTCATGTGAAGTAATATCGCTTTCTGTTTGGTTGTTTGAATTGTAAAAAAAACCCCTAATTTTTGTTCTAAGCTGAGATTGTTAATATGCTTACCTCCATGACTTATTTCCTTTTTTTGATTGGAAAATGGCTATAGATGTACATCAAAAATAATGAATTGTGTGGAACAGTCAAAAGCAACATATTGCAAATCCCCTGCTGTTTATTTTTCTCTTCTTTTAACTTTAATCTTAACTTTTTGAATCAGTACATATGTAGATATTTACAGAGAAAAAAACCTGCTATAAATGTAAAAATCTATAATGATCAGCCATAGACATGGTTGTTGGATCTCCAGAAACTGATTATGTTTACTGTTGCAGGTTTAATGCGTGATGACACAATATATGAGGATTCAGACGTGAAGGAGGCCCTAAAAAGGCTTCCAGAGAACGTTTATAACGACAGGACATTCAGGATCAAGAGGGCCCTGGATCTCTCAATGAAGCAGCAGCTTCTCCCAAAAGATCAGTGGACAAAATTCGAAGAGGCAAGTTTTTAAACGAATAAGTGAATGGTTTTCTTTAGAAGACCCTTGAAGTGTGATTCAGTATGTGGAGAGTATTGTATATGTGTGTTAAGTACAGAATTGTCCCAATGAGATAATCGTTTAAATATTTCATTTTGTCAACCACTATCAGATGTGTTTGAGGCTTCTATTTACTTCATAAATCTAATCTGTTTGTTGTAGGATGTCAATTATCTCACACCATACCTGGAGGAGGTGATCCGTGAGAGGAAAGAAAGGGAGGAATGGATGAAGAAATAACACTTCCTGATCACGGTTGTTATGTGGTTGGTGCACGACTGTCCCTTGGTGTAATATGTAAAGTTTTAAAAATGAGATGTAACCTATATAAAAACAATGCTCAATAAAGAAATGTGGATTTACATTTTAGAGGGCAGATGTGTTTATTTTTTTTTTTAAGATTGGTTTATTTGCATGACTATTAAACTAATGTATGCACTTAAAGAGAACCTTGAATGCAGTAGTTTATGCTCACACATTTCTTTCATTGGAGAAACATAAAATGGTGTATAATAAGCATCCCACAGCATGATGTTGCCATTAATATGTTAAATAATAGGGATGACTTGTTAGAGGTTGCTTGCACACATTAGCAGTCCTTACAGATGGTTAGACTGAATTGGTGAATTCGACTTTTGAAAGTAACTGGTCTTTCAAAGTTGAATGATGCAAAATATATACACTGCACGCATTGAAATAGTTTTATTTGTAAAACATTTTTAAAACTATGTTTATTTTTATTTCTCTATAACAAAGTCACAGTTCAACACATTGAATATGCAACTTTACCTTCATACAAACTGAGTTTAATAACTTTTTAAGGCAGCTGCAGCTAACTTAGTTTCTTTGTCATCAGATGATCCTGTCATTAATTTATCAAATTTGTTTTTAAAATAATGCAACTTAAACTCATAGAGGCAAGGTCAAAGAAATTTGTCCAAAACCCCTGAGGATCATTAATGTCCACTTGTTGCTCATCAGGAGTTCTCATTACCTCTCTGAGCCTGGGATCTCCTGGTATCCACATCTGTTATTGTTCCAATAAAGTTTCCAATCACGTTGTTGAAAGATTTTAGCATCGAAACTCCAAGTTCATTGCTGGTTTCGTTAATGTCCGGATCATAGGTGCCCATGAGAGGTGAGCACACCTCCACTTCGCTTCTGTTGGCTCTTTCCAAGATGCCTGAAAGCTGACCCATGGTCTGCTGGAACAAGTCTCTGTTGTAGTTCAGCAAGACCGCATCTTCCAGAGGATAAGCAACATCTTCAGAGTAGCAGTCACGGGGTGCAGGTACCTCTATGTACCTCAGTTTAGGAAAACCTGTTGTCAACGTGGAGAAGAGCCTCCTCAGAGTGACAGAGCTGAGAGGATTTCCCAGAAGTTTTAACTCCTTCAGTCCCTGGCAGGGGGACAGAGCATTGGTGAAGGTGGTTAAGTGTTCATCCTGGATGTCGCACTCTTCCAGGATGAGGGTTGTCAGCGTGGCGGAGCATCGGCTCAGGAGTTTGTGAAACGCAGTGGGAAAAGAGCTGAAGATATTATGTCCGCTGAGGTCGAGGTGGACCAGGGTCTCGCTGTGCAGACTGTTGGCCAGGTAGGTCATATCCACACGGTTCAGGCAGCAGTTGGCCAACTCCAGACACTTCAGTGGTGTATTGAGAGGACTACGGAAGGTCAGCAAAGACAAGTTAGAACCTCAGGCTTGTTTGATGCACATAGTTTTATGTAGTTGTTATAGATAAAATAATTTTTCCATTTATTTTTACACAAAGCTTTTAACCACTTTGTTGTTTAGTTTGTCAATATAAAACCTGGGTTATTTCTTTAGTTTATAACGGTATATATATATATATATATTTAGCAGCACTTTTGCTCAGTTCAAAAATGTAGTTCTTTGTAAAAAGTATGTACACTGACTAATCTTTTAATCATTTTTCCATAACTGCCTTCAAAATTTTCTGGTACGTCAAATCTTAAAAGCTTAATGTGAATTTAACTCCATACTGAAGGCAAATCTTTACCAGTTTTTTACATCTTGACATTTTCCTGCTATTTTCAGAAAGTTAAAGATCAGTCGAATTGAATGGATAGCATCCATGAACACTGATTTAGATCGTTGTTCATGGATGCTCTCCGTGAACACCGATTTTTGCTTTAACTGGATCCTATAACAAATTTATATACTATAATCTTATCAATACACCCTAATGGTGGTCTGCTGTCCCTAGTCTTTCAGAGCCTCTTTGTAGTTTAGCAGCCATCATAGTTGATAGCTCTATCTTTTCATTAACTTCAACTAGCTTCCCTTTCCTGCTGAAAAAAGCATTCCCAAAACTAAGACAACTTTTATTGTCATTTTGTATAAACAGTGTATACAAAACGAAATATTGTTTAGTACAGCTTTCCAGACAGTAAATGAACATTTCCATCCCATAAAGTGCAGCAGTGATCAAATGTAAACGGTGTGGGAGAAAAAATTAAATAAAATAGGCAAAAAATGCATTGATACGGAACTTTAAAGCATTAATATATATGGTGCAAATATGCAGTGTTTTTGTTTGGTGTTATCAGTGTGATGCAGAGTCTGTGACATTAGTTTTTTTCAACAGTTCAGCTGTCTGATAGTGGGAAAGAAACTGTTGTAGAATCTGATGGATCTGCATCAAATGCTGCAAAGCCTCTTCCCAGCGGGCAGCAGGGAGAACAGTCCAGACTCAGGACACGCAGCGCTGGGATGAAATGTTCTGTATGGAGGGAAGAGGAGCCCCAGAGAGCCTCTCTGCTGTTCTCACTAATCTTCTTACTTTCCTTCAGTCTGCGGAGCTGCAGCCTCCACATCACAGATTGAGACAGCTGGTCAGAACCCTCGCTATGGTGCTTCTGTAGAAGGTGGTGAGGATGGGTGGGGGCAGGTGGGCTCTCCTCATCCTCTGCAGGAAGTACATGTGCTTTTGTGCCCTTTTGACCAGTGAGGTGGTGTTTACATTCCAGGTGAGGGTGTCTGTGATGTGCACCCTCAGGAATATGGTGCTGCTGACCACCTCAATTGCTGAGCTGTTGATGACCAATGGAGCGTGGTTAGGAAGGTTCTTCCTGAAGTCGAGGATGTTCTCCTTCATCTTCTCCATGTCCAGAATCAGGCTGTTATCTTTGCAACGGTCCACCAGCTGCTCCACCTCCTCTCTGTAGTCCCGGTTGTGGTCGTCTCTGATGAGGCCCACCACCGTGGTGTCGTCTGCAAACTTCACGATGTAATAGGTGGTGAACCTGGGGATGCAGTTGTGTGTCATGTGTGTGAACAGCAGGGGGCTCAGGACGCAGCCCTGAGGGAAGCCTATAGGGTGCTTAGGGTGGCGAAATCAGAGATATTCTGTCTGACCCAGATTGACTGAGGTCTGAGGTTTTTGAGGAAGTCTAGCAGTCAATTGCAGAGGGGTGTATTGAAACCCAGTGGTTCCAGTTTTCCTATCAGATGTTGTGGGATGATGGAGTTGAAAACTGAGCATAAAGGTGTTCTTCTCCTCTGGGTGTGCCAGGCTCAGGTGGAGAGCAGAGGAGGAGATGGCGTCTTCAGTTGAGCTGTTATGTCGGTAGACATATCGAATGTTTGGGGGGAGACTGGGTGTGTTTTGTTTTCTTTAACCAGCCTTTTAAAGCATTTTATCATGACAGGAGTCTGTGCGACAGGCCCGTAGTCGTGAAATGAGATGACCTGAGGCTTCTTTGGGACCGGAATGATGGTGACTTAAAGGAGAAGTTCGGTTTTTTACACTTTAAGCCCATTTTCTGTAGTGTCCAGGATGAAATCGAATGATCGACACCAAAAGTTTGACANATCAATACACCCTAATGGTGGTCTGCTGTCCCTAGTCTTTCAGAGCCTCTTTGTAGTTTAGCAGCCATCATAGTTGATAGCTCTATCTTTTCATTAACTTCAACTAGCTTCCCTTTCCTGCTGAAAAAAGCATTCCCAAACCTAAGGCAACTTTTATTGTCATTTTGTATAAACGGTGTATAAAAAATGAAATTTTGTTTAGTACAACTTTCCAGACAGTAAAAGAACATTTCCATTCCTTAAAGAGCAGCGGTGATGAAATGTAAACTGTGTGGGAGAAAAAAAAAAATAGCCAAAAAATGCATGATATGGAAGTTCAGAGCATTAATATACATGGTGCAAATATGCAGTATTTTTGGTTTGGTGTTATCAGTGTGATGCAGATTCTGTGACATGATTTAGAGTTTTTTCAACAGTTCAGCTGTCTGATGTCCTGTGGGAAAGAAAGTATTGCAGAACCTGCTGGACCTGCATTGGATGCTTCGAAGTCTCTTCCCAGAGGGCAGCAGGGAGAACAGTCCATGATGGTGGGTGTGAGGGGTCATTTATGATGTTACGGGCTCAAGACACGCAGTACTGGGATGAAATGTTCTTTAGGAGGGAAGAGGAGCCCGATGATCTTCTTTGCTGTTCTCACCACTCTCCTCACTTTCTTCCAGTCTGCGGCGCTGAAGCCTCCACACCACACAGCGAGACAGCTGGCCGGAATGCTCCCTATGGTGCTGCTATAGAGGGCCGTGAGGATGGGTGGGGGCAGATGGGCTCTCCTCATCCTCCGCAGGAAGTACGTGACCAGTGAGGTGGTGTTTACATTCCAGGTGAGGTTCTCAGTGAGGTGCACCCCCGGGAATTTGGTGCTGCTGACCACCTCTACAGCTGAGCTGTTGATGACCAGTGGATCGTGGTTTGGACGGTTCTTCCTAAAGTCAACGATAATCTCCATCTTCTCCATGTCAAGAATCAGGCTGTTATCTTTGCAACGGTCCACCAGCTGCTCCACCTCCTATCTGTAGTCCCGGTTGTTGTCGTCTCTGATGAGGCCCACCACCGTAGTGTCGTCAGCAAACTTCATGATGTAATAGGTGGTGAACCTGGGGATGCAGTTGTGCGTCATGTGGGTGAACAGCAAGGGGCTCAGGACGCAGCCCTGAGGGGAGCCTGTGCATAGGGTGACGACATCAGAGGTGTTCTGTCCAACCCAGACTGACTGAGGTCTGTTTTTGAGGAAGTCTAGCAGTAAAATTGCAGAGGGGTGTATTGAAGCACAGCTATTCCAGTTTTCCTATCAGATGCTATGGGATGATGGAGTTGAAAACTGAGCACAAGGGTGTTCTTCTCCTCCGGGTGTGCCAGGCTCAGATGCAGAGCAGAGGAGGAGATGGCGTCTTCAGTTGAGCTGTTATGTCGGTAGACAGATCGAATGTTTGGGGGGAGACTGGGTGTGTTGTGTGTTCTTTAACCAGCCTTTTGAAGCTTTTCATCATGACAGGGGTCTGTGCGACGCCCGTAGTCATGAAATGAGATGACCTGAGGCTTCTTTGGGACCGGAATGATGGTGGCATGATGGTGACTTGAAGCATGCTGGCACTATGGGTTTGTCCAGCGAGGTGTTAAACATGTCTGTGAGGACACTAGCCAGCCGACCTGCACACTCTTGTACACCCGCATAAAACATGAACCGATCTATACCTCTTTTTTTTTAAATGTAGACAGAGTTGGTTTTATTTATTTTTTTGGTGACTTAAAAAACTGTTTTGGTCTCACTATTTACCAGACAACCTTGTTCCAAATGTTTATATTCCCTAAGTAGCTTATAGCTAATTCTATTCTGCCTCTTTGTAAATGTCATCTGGCACTAGTGGCTTTTATTGATAGTAATTGGATCTAACTGAGCTCCATGAGACGGATGGAATAGGATTTTATGACACGACTCTTCTTAATCCAAACAAAGTTGAGGGGGTGTGAATACTTTCCTACATCTTTGTCCCCAGCTGACCTGCAGCTGTCTGTCCTCACTGTCATGATACCAGCAATGTTAAAAACAAAATACCATCCATTGCGAAAGAAGAGCCTTTAAAGCTGCCAAATTTTTCAGATAACAGATCTATAAGAAGAAATGCCTACCCTATCTTTGTAGAAACACCAACCTTCAGTGACCTTGTTGGCCATTTAACTGTCTGGTTAGGAACTCACCATAGAAGTCTGCGAAGATGTCCAGTGAGAGTCGAGAACCCAACATAAAGCTCAGTAAGGTTGCCAAGCTGTGCCAGTAGACTGCCAATGGTTGCCAGGAGATCATCATCATCAGCGCCCAGCCTCCTAACATCCAGCGCCCCCGCTGGTAGCGTCAGAGACTGCAGTTTGGGGAACTCCACCCTGGACAGCAACACCTCCAGATGCGGGGCCTCCAGGGGAACGTTGTGAACCACTTCTAGCTTTGTTAAGGACTCGGGCTCTGCTATGCGAAGAACATAGAACAGCTGCTTTAAAGCCAGAGAGTCGGCTCTAATGCTGACAAAATGAACCTTTAGAGGACAGTGGCGGAGAAGCAAGAAGGCCTGAGCGACCTGCTCGTAGTTACGGCCTGTCACAAATCCATTGAGGAGGACGTTGACAGAATGATGAAATGAAGATGGGTTCACATCTCCCGCCTGCATGGCCGCCATCGTCTCATAACACATTTGGGACAGGAGCTGTGTCCGAGCCCATCGACCCAAGCTGGACCTGCATGGACAGGCTTGGTGCTCAGTGTCTTTGAGGGCAGTCAGGTCTACTACATGCAAACTCTTGGCATAGGTCTTCGGAGGAGACAGCACATAATCCTGTAAGGCATCATCATTAAGTCATTGCAAACCAATGTTTACCAAAAAAAAAACCTTAAGCATAAAGATCCAGACCAATTTAGGTTTTTACCTTTAGGCCGATCAGAAGTGCTTGTAGGCAGGCCCGGCAGGTGCAGGAGGTGAGGTCCAGTTCACAGTCATAGGACCGTCCCAGGAGTCTCTGTATGTTGAGCTCAGGAAGAGGCCATATTCTCACCAAAGCATGCAGGAGATCAGCCTGCTCATGAAGGTAGCAGGCCTTGAAGAGAATCGGATAGAGGTTAAAAGACACGCAGCTTAAGTTCTCCAACGCCCCAGAACCAGTCTGGATGAAGCCCTCAGCCGCAAGGAAGCGCAGGGACTTCATGTTCTCAAGGTTTAAGTGAAGAAACAAGATTGTTCTGATTGCTTTCAGCGTTTCCTGTCCTCTGCAGCGGCTGCTTGTTTTGATATTCAGTCTTTAGTCTGGTATTTATCCAGGACGGGGCTTGTGGTGTTTCTGAGGTAGCAATGCTTGGGCTTGGAGTTGGGGGGGGGTCTTGTAATGGGTAACAGCGTTGATGTTATTAATAGAAACAGCTGTCTCATGTCCTTCGTCGGGACACGGTGTCTGACTTTCAGCAGAGATAAGTGGAAACAACCTTTGAACACTGCCGGGAAAATTTAATTGAAGACAACTAAATTAAGTTTGTTTTTTTTAATCATTAAAATGGCTCTTTGGCCAATTTCTCTCAGAAATAAATATAAAAAAAATATTCACATATAGTGCTGAATTAAATTACACTTTATATGTAAATAATTTTATGTATTCATTTTCATTAGCTTTATTTTCTTTAATATTGTTTCCTATTAATATTAGCATGGCATATTTGTTTGGTTCAAACTGGATTAAAATTAGAAATGCTTGTCATTACATATCTGTAATCAGTTAAGGTGAGTATTGTCTTACATTTTTATCACACCAGCAATTTTTGTTCTTCCTCTCTTTATGATATTGTGGTTCTGTGGTTACTTTAGGGGGGAAAAAGCCTTTTTTTTTTTTTTTTTACAAAAATTAAAAACTGCCTCCACAATAACAGGATTTATATAAAGCGAGAAGACCCCTCTGATCTTAAATTAACATCCTACATATTCATCAAAACAATTGTCACCATGTTGGAAAGTTATGCAGTTGTTAAAGGACAATATATTTAAAACATTTGATAGTTATTTAAAGATTATTTGGCACCATTATATATTTAATCGTTTCCCATATTTGAAAATGGAAAACTGTATTTTTCAATAATTTTTAAAATCACTTTAAAGAATCAAGTCCAAATTGATTCTAAAAGTGAGCTCTACCTTAACATCTGTAAAAGGTGCTGAAAGACATTTCCCCAGATGATAGAGTTCCTCACCCTATCTCCACATTGCAGAACAAACTAGTCTCACCTGCTTGGGTCCAACCCTGAATGCATTTCCTGATCAATCTCTACTGTGAACAAAAAAAAAAAATAAATAAATGCTTAACGTCCTCCAACATGGCAGTCCATTTTCATCTGAAAATCTCATTCTAGCCACATACTTCCCATCACTGAAGGTCAATGATAGGGCAGAATAAACATGCCTAAAAAAACAAAAAATGTAATTATTTTCCACTAATATTGTGGTTTTCTTTGCACTAGCTACCAGCATGTAGATGTTCTTTGAATGACCTTGAAAGCTTGTTTATCCAGATTCCATTTTTGCAGGACTTTACTGTAACCTTTGCTTGAAAAATTATGTATGGATGTGTGTGCTAACTGCAACCCTCTCTTCCCTTCTCTGTGGCAGAAAACTCCCTTTAAGTGTAATACCGCCCTCTAAAGGGCTGAGGACAAAAAATTTTTTTATCCTTGTTAAAAATAATGTGACTAAAAGTGGGTGCTTCTGCGATTTGAAAATTAAGCTTTGCTTAATTGGGTTTATATTAGAAATGCAATGGATCTCCCAGCCCAAAAACAGCATCTGCAAAAAGATGCCGAGGTCTAACTAAACACTATGTCTTCAGAACACATGAATGCCTCAAATTGGATCAGGTGGTGAATGGAGCATTTAATTAGCACTGGAAATGGACCCATCAGGGGGCCAAGAGTGGAGCCTCTGGTGTTGTTTTTGCTATGAGGGAACTAGATCTTCCCACAGACTCCACAGGTAGAACATAAACTATCAATACTATTCGCGACAAATCTATTATTATCTGATCAAAGCACAACTGCTACAAGTTGATTTTTTTTATTGTCAAATACAAAAGTATTTTTAGGCTGCATAAACTGTTACTTTAAATGTACTTACAAATGGTTTGTCCTGAATCCGATTGCAACTTCCCTTTAACTGGAATAAGTTTGTTTTCTCTATACATACACATATTTACATTCATCTGTTTCAAAGCAACAGAAAAGGTCCATGTGTCTGAAAGTCTTATTAACTGGAGCTGCTGATAGACTCATTGGCAGCCAGCACTGATGTGGGTCCTATGTGGGTCCAGATGAAGCCTTTTTCAGGACATAGCGGGATGGTGGGGAACGGAGAGCTGCGTGACTTGAAATATTCAGAAGGCGCGTGGCACACAAACTCCAAATAGTCCATTTTTCGGGGCAGATCTTCCTCTGGGCCTGAGATAAAGCACTGTGCTTAAAAGCCACATAGAAAAACCAGGGTAAAATGCATAATTTCACACAGTTGCTTACCGATGATGTATGTCCCTGGATCAAAGTGGTCGCTTGGACTGGCCTGAGTGGGGATGAGCCACGTCAGAGCCGCACTCTTCTCACAGTACTGGTCCTGCACAAACCCTCGGATCTGAGCATAGTACGGCTTCCCATCGTCTTCATCTATGACCCTGATCACATCACCTATCTGGTAATACACACCCTGTAAAAACAAACAGAGCTTCTGGGTTACCAGATGACCATATCAATGTATATGGATGAATTCAAAAAAACACTGACTACCATACCTTGTAAAATATAGATTCTGATGTAATGATTGTTGACACAGATTCTGGTGCTTTGATTGGCTGTGAAGGAAAGAGTATTCAAGTGTGAAATACTGCAATTCATAACTAAGGAATAAAAAAAAAAACAACTCAGAAGAATAATTTATTTACATTTTTTAGTTTAAATATGTGTCTTCTTCCTTTGCCTTTTGTTGAGACTTTTTTCTCAGAGGCAGGAGCTTTGTACTTGGTACTTCTTAGTCGGGCAGACCTCCTGTGGATCTCCTGTTTGGACTAGAAATAGGCAGATATCAAATATTTGAACAAATCAAAATCATGATTTAATCCCCATTGATTACAATTTAACTCATAGAATATTAAAGACAAATAACTTTTTTTTTTCAGTGGATTGAATCAATTTTAAATTACTATTTCAGTATACTATAACAATACCTGATGTGATTTTTTTTGGCTACGGTATATGAATTGCTTTCTGCATCGACAGAATGTGAATGCTAACATGCATGCAAACCATTATACTTTATATTAATCTGTCATATACTATAAAAGTAAAGTATCTGAGACTAATATTTCTATAAAAAAATAATTCAAAGCATGTACTTTAAGTAATTTTATTTGTAAGGTTTTTGATGACAAAACAGCTGAAGAAAATACTGTAGAAAGATTTAACTTAATAGAAGTCTGGCATATCAGAAATCTGATTCTTGTTTCAGGATGGCTTAGGAGCTCTTCTGGCGACCTGTATATAATACTTTGTTGTGACTTGCATTCTATTGTTTAACAATAACGCCCCTACATACAGCAGCTATAAAACTAAAGCAAGCGCTTCCTCAGCTTGCAGGTGCGCTGTTCTGCCGCTTGGGGGTGCTATTCAGCGATCTTCTTTTGGACTAACCAAACAGATATAGCGCGTCAACTCCCGGGTTTTAAAAATACGTGCAAAACCGAGCAACAAAAAACACACAAGTGCTATAATTATAAAGGCCACGCTTTTAAATCCTATTCTATGTGTGACTGACCTGTTTTCCACCGCCGTTACTGGGTATTGTGCTGGTGGACACGGCGGGTCCAACGACTCCGCCGCCGCCGATGCTGCTGGTGTTCTTCCCTGTGCAGTTGTTGCACAGTATTTCACCCTGGTTCCCCTTCTTCCACATCGAGGAAGAGTTCGTCTTACAGACGGAACAGCACGGTTTTATACCCAAAGGCATTTCAACCGAGTAATCAAAAGAAAGTCTACAGACCACGAAATTATTACAACGGTGTTCAACAAAAAAAAAAAGAGCTCCACGATCCACCACCGACAAGAGTTCACTATCAAAACCCTCACTTACGTAGCTGCAGCAAATTGCAGCTGCAGTTATCAGAGCAAATAAAAGGCACACAGCATCTTGAAATAACCAATGGACACACCAATTCGGTCTATTGAATGTATGTCGCTATTATCCTTAGCAGCGGTCCCCGTCTTCCTGTCTTCTTCCTCTAACGTTAAACAGAAGGACCAACTACAGCGCCCCCTACAGGACTGAAAGACGATGCAACAGATTACTAGGTGTGCTCATGTAGTCTATAAACTCAATTTATACATATATATATATATATATATATATATATATA